GGGGGGGGGTTAGAATATAGAACATGAGATCAGAAAATTTTCATTTCCTTCTATACCAATTCACGTAGCCTCTCTTTTTTAGATCGACAAATTTATCTATTGACTGGCCATTTCTTAGAGATCGGGATTGAAATTCGGACAGTTTTCTCAACTAGTTTTCCCTTCTTAAACTTATTCACTACATGAATAATAGTATATTTTGCCGGAATAAGTGTATTACTAAATACGAAACATTCATCATCAATCAAACTTTTTATTACTGTCGCACGACGTTGAGGTACTTCCTCCCTGTCATTGACGGGGCATCCATTGTTCACAGTCTAATAATTTAGTCCTTCTTTTCGGCTTTATTTTAGTTTGTTTCCTCGATGGATTATATTCCTGACCTGACACCGTTCCTAACGAAGCACAAGGCAAGATTTGACGAGGTGCGGCCAGTCCGAATTGGAGGAGTCACTTGTCCCTCGTGCTGTGAAAATATCGCCAATTTGTTGGAAGATATCGTCGTGAAGAATGATGCCGCTGGAGATTGTGACTGTGGCGAAGGCTAGCATTTGCTTTGTTATCAAGTTTTTATGTGATATTGCATTAATACCTATTTTTGCTATTCGTTCTAATTTTTTTTTGCACTTTACGATACTTCTGGAGGGATTGTAAATTTTGCACAACAGTAGGAATCTGTAATGGTTAATTATAAATATACGGTAATAGATTCCTGTAGTTTGGATATTAGGTTCAGAAAAAAATGTGCCATTTAACACCTAGAATAATTTTGAGTGAAATATAGCTTTCGTTGGAAGGTAAGCAAAAAAATTAACGAAAAAGTAAAACCCCTAATACTGCGTACCCCATTGTTCCACATTATTTTCTGGACTCTTGTATTCTACTATTACCCTCTGATGAAAAGTTGAAAGATTTTGTTACACTACTCCGGGGTAATGATATAAATTATTTGGCTTAGCAGTGAATGATTGAGACGAAATTTCCAAAATATGAATGAAACATGAAGTTGTTCTGCATAGCCAACTACACAAATTCCAGCTGGAGTGGCGGAATTGCGTATTCTGACTTCCTTCTGCTTGGGAGGTATTGAAATACGCGCCAAGACGTCAAGCAATAGCTAAAATGCTGTATCGATATCACCTTCATCCTTATCACCTCTGAGCTTATATTGGTTTCTTTCAAAGAGAACATTCGGGCATACATCAAATTCATATTGAAGCAATGTTTACTTTCAATTGCTCCGACCTATTCAACCAAAGCAAGCGACTTAACTTACTCCTCGGAGCGAATTATTTAAGCCCTTTAAAACCAAAACATTGGAGCAACACATTTATAATTAATTTCTGATAATAAAAATAACTACAATGAGAGACTGAGATAGTATAGACCAATGGAGAGGGGAGCCGAATAGGTAGACTTTGGCTAAGCGGCCGAAGGGGTTGAATGAGAAATAGGGTGACAAGTGAGTGCACTCGGAGGTGCTCTTCGCCAAAAGGGAAGATAACCGCGATATTGGGCTCCTTGGGAGATCAAAAATTGCAAACACTCGCGCCAAGATCCGAAGGAATTGGCTAGCCCCACCTCATGTATTGCGATCCGAGAACCGTGCAATGCCATCACACTTCCAACAACCTTTAGGAATTCAGAAATGGAAAACGAAGTAAGATAACTGCCTAAGGTGATTTAATATTTGTGGCAAAAGATCAAGAGAATTATTAACATACCAAAAGTAAACACATTTACTGAAAAATTCTCAAATCCATTAAATATCCAGATTAAAGAGTGGAATAAGTCTCCATTAGCAAATTGTTCATTGATGAATGACGGAAAATGCACCGACTGCAGGCCAAATACTGCAGCGACTTGACCTGCTATTTCATCTACTAGCACAGCTGAGTTTAAATCGAATTAACCAAGCTATGGTGTCCAGGTAAGCCTAGCCTCTAGACAAACAACTCTTCTGACTACACGGTTGTATTCTACCAGAACATACTAAGATGCATTCCAGTTAAGACTAGCTTCCAACATGTTGTATTTATGAGACAAACTTTCTAAAAATTTGAAATTCAATAAAAAATTTTCGATATAGGCAAGGCATTCAGAATCAACAATTACTTCGTTATGTAGGATAAACAAGCTCAAGTAGATCCCAATTCATGAACTCCGAATCCACATGAATGAAGCTTCTTTACGGTGCAATATTGCAGAATAGCAAGGTTTCCTATCTCGATCTAAAGTACCTGCATTACCTCATCTTTACTGCAGCGAGCTCAGAATGAGATCAATTAATGACTCAAAACGTTCGAAAAAGCTGATAAACATGAATGAAGGAATCAGATGATCCCGCAGTTGACATCTGGTAAATTGCGTCGCTGCTTAATAGATTACTTGGCTTTAAAGCATAAAGAATTGCCATAATAAAGAAATTTCACAACTTAAACAGAAGCATAGCGTAGAGTTTTATTTAGGTAAATCACTTGACAACGCAAATTTTAGCGAATCGTAAAAATAGCAGAAAAAGAGCCCTGGAATCTCCGACGTAATACAATTTACGTATTGAGTGGAAAAATTGATGACACTTTGGAAGATTATCGAATTTGAAGCTCTCAATGGACAACATCATGAAGGGAAATCTTGTCTATGTATTTGCGTAAGCTTATTCAACACATAGTTATTAATTGCGAAGGAAATGTACTTTAGCTTTATAGGTGAAATAAAATGCAAGATAACTAAAAGCATACATTGCAGGCACAATGGACATAAACCACGTTAAACTGTACGATACGTAAAATATAATAAGCATTTAAAAAATACCTGCAGTGGATAAGCAGCAACATTTACGACCACATCAGCGAGTAGATTAAACAGGAATTTAAAATTATTTGACAAATGTCGGGGAACATCAACCCCATCCCGATTAATTAAACTGTAGATAAGAAAATACATCCCCAGTCTTGACAACTCCCACAACATTCGCGGAACAAGACCCTAAAAAGAATTCAGAAAATAAACGAAACCAATAACTGACAGAAAAGAATCCCATTAAACCACTTTCTCTATATATTGACACCACAGCCTGAAAAAACCAAGAGTATTGATCCTCTCCACTGACTAAGCTCGCAATTTGTCGCATCATAATCACTATTAAATCGTTAGGTTATTATTGAACCACTGTGCGAACCGAAAAAAGGCTGAGTAACGAAGAGTTCGTAAGCTCTTGCTATAAGGATATATCGAACAAGGTGGAAAAATTCTCTCCGTGAGGATTTTCCAATCAAATTCATCAAGAGAGTCGACTGATCGTTCGATAATACATCTTCGTCGTCCATCCATTCTAGAGAATCAAGTTGTCGTTGGACAAAGTATCGATTAATCATGAATGTCATCGTTTTGTGAGTAGCTTCAAGACAAAATGATGAAAAAAATCCACAGGTTATAACTCGCCAGTATCCATACTTTTTCAATAGATAAAAACTATATGTAAATGCATTTGGATAGAAGGCAAGAGGACAGCGAATAAGACCGATAAGATGGAGGAAAGTATTTGAGGTGTGAGGAGGAAGCGGTTCATGCCCTATTCGGATGAGGTGGCAAGCCACACGACAGGGATTTAAAAGGCTATGGAATAATGCGTTTTCAGATATGGCAATGCTATCAGGAGCAAACATCTAAAGTACAAAATGTAATTAAACATGGTGGATGGTTGACCAAATAATTGATAATTTACTCCAAAAATATACCATTAGCAAGAAAATACCTCGCTACTAGGTCACCTGGATTCTCTCGGGAAGGTATAAGGTACGGAAACCCAGCATTTACAGAACCTCAAATCACTTTTCAAGGTTAGTTACAATAAATCTTTACAATTAAGTGGAATTTTTTGACATTCGTCAAAGCAAATAGGATATGAACATTAGAAAAACTGGAACAATTTTTATAGAGAAACGGTAATATAAAACAAAAGTGAAAAGTTAACATGTTAAATGACTGAAACATTATTACAAAAGTTGATTATCTAATTCCAACATTATTAATTTTATATGTCAAATTCGTTTGCGTTAATATCCATTTTTAATATTTTATATCTCAGTATGAATTCATCGATCACATCCATGTGCTAGATCATTTCGTTATAAGTTATTTATGATTCAACTTTTATGTGGAATGCTTGGCTTTTAATATTATAAATAATTTGAGTCAATTTAAATTAATTAATAATATATGAAATTTTAAATTGATTAAATGATGATTAGATTTTTCTCGTTCAGTCAAACCATAAGCGCACATTACAGAGCACCAATTTGTTATCGTCTGGTGCCAAATGTCATCCTCACGGTAAGAATATACATTTGCTTATCGCTAAAATCAGCTGGAAAGCAAAATTAGATTCATTTAGGTATCGTAAAAGTTTGTCTCGTAAGAGATTTGCAAATAAGACGCAATTCCCCAAATTTGGAAATTCAAGCAAGGATTCGAAGAGCTGTTTTTGGAAGTATTCATCTTCTAAAACTTGTCGAAGCTCCCGAGTTCATTCCAATACAATTTTGTGTGAGATTTACTTATTTTATTACATAAGGATATACTGTCAATTTATATGATTGAAATTTACATTGTGCTGTTTTGTAATATTGTATTTTTGCCAATACTAGGTATTGTTGAAGGACGGGGTGCAAATAACGGTCAAATTGGAATAGCTGCAATTGATTTGAACCGACCGGAAATTGAAGTGTCTCAATTCCTAGAAACATGCAGCTATAGTTGCACTTTAATGAAAATGCTTGTCTGGATGCCAGTTGATGTAAATTTCTATATCTTCCGTTGCAAAAAACTCATCCGTTCAAGTATTATTTCTTTCTTGTCTTAAATTCAGATTCTTTTGCCTCATTCTGTTTTGGACCAATCCAGTAATATGAATCGACTGGTAAAGTTGCTTCAACAGAGCGAATTCGGTTGTAACATTATTGGCGTCAATCGGCAATCTTTTAATAACCAACAAGGTATATTTAATTTTCAAGTCTAATTCAGGTTTCTTTCGCTTTTAGGTTTGGAATATCTTAAGGCTCTATGCCATCCATACTATCTTCCATCTATCTATGCGTTTCAGGAGAAGTTAATATTAAAACTTACTTATAACCTAAATCGACAGATTTTGAATTCCTTGTTTCTTATCACTGCCATAGGTACTATGGTTTGTCGGCTGTATCTGCTTTGTTTAATTACCTGGAATCCGCGAAACGGGTTTACTATGCACCTAAGTCACTTAAAGTAGAATTCGGCAGCTCTTCTCAGTCAACTCTTATGGGTATTCTCTCTGTCATGTCATAAGATTATTTCGTGAGATTTGGTTGTCTCTCTTATCAGTTCATTTCTTTAGATGCAACAAGCGCACTTAGACTTGGGTTAGTCGGACGGTTAAGTCGTTGCCGGGACCATAACACGCTCTTCAAAGCGATCAATTACACTTGTACTCTTAGTGGTGCTCGTCGATTAAGGGCATCTTTATTGGAACCCCCTAAAGGTATTTTAAAACTCTAGTCATTTTCTTATAACCTTCCTTTAAACAATCATTTATCCTTTGCAGATTTAACCACCATCATCTGTCGGCAAGATTCTGTAGAAGAACTCATCTCTAAACCCCGAACCCTACTGGAAATTCAGGTAGTTATTTTTTCGTGAGCATATCTAGTCACTTCTGACTTCTATAATTTTCTTTCTACTTACTGAATTTGAGTAGCATAAAATATTATCATGTAATATCCTACACTTTACATATTTGCAGAACGTGCTGTCCAAGTTCCCGGCGATTGACAGTCTCCTTTCTATGTGCATTCACCTCTCGGATTTTCCAGCACCTCTTACTGACATTCTTACTGCCACCTCTACATCTGAATCAGCTGTTATCTTTGCTTCTTCCGCATCGCTCAAAGCACAACGAACGATATTATCGCCTGATTTGGTTAATGATGATAATCTGCTAACACCCAGTTCTGATGTGGAGATGTCACATGATGGAAGAGGTAAGCAAAGGCGACTTTAAGTACAATGTGATAAACCTTCATCTTATTTAGATAAGATGCAGAAAAGGTAGTTAGCTAGAATGTCTATTCACATTCTATGTTTTGAGCGGTTATTGAAATTTCATATTGGCCACCGTGTCATCGGTGCCTGCTTTAGATCAAGCTGTTTTCATCACAAACTATTATCACATTCGGAAAACAAGCCTGTACCATATCTAAATGAGAACTGTGCAATAACCCTTATGTTAACCGTTAAGTTTCTAACAGCTCTTCCAGACCTGTGGCCATAATATGAAAATGAAATTTGTTCAAGGATTATGTATGAACTGGCCCTAAATACCCTCTGCACCCATCTGTTCTCAACTTTGCTTATTCAGCTGTGGATATAGAAGGCTGCATGCTTTTTACTACCTTATCTTCCATTTTCTATTTCGATACCTGCGTTTACATCTGACTATGGTTAAAAAATGTACGAGTGCAATAGGAGACCCATACCACTCCTCTTAAAAAATTTATTTTTATATAAATCTTAAGAAAGAGTTTTTAATCAACGTAAGCTATCATAAGATTTTATCTCCACTAAGCAGCATTAACCCTTGTTTCACTGGATTTCGAGCCAATATTCTTATCCTATTCGATCGGTAAATTCCGTCGTAAATGTGAAAACAGTCATAGTGACTACTTTTGTTTACGCTTCTACACCTGTAAGCACTTGCATTTCGCAGGTCCCGGAACATCCCAGCAAAAAAGAACCTCCACCTCAAGATTGAATGCCACCACTACTGCTACTACTCGTCTTTCCCCCATGCCCACTTCGACCTCTGGAAGGCAACATGGCAGTGACACTACTGTCGATGGCAAAGGCTCTTCGCACTCCACAACCTCCACATCGATCTCTGCTGTAACTATTGAGAAGAACGCCGAACTGCGAATTACCAAATTGATTGCTATTAAGCATATGCTCGATCTTATCAAACCTCTGTATGATGCTTTGAAAGGGACGTCAACTACTCTGTTGAAGACTTATCGGGAGGTAACAAAGCTTTCTCCTGATATCGCCTTTTTGCCATTGTTAACTTGAATACTCAGCAGCGAAAGCCATGTTGATTAGCTTTGCGATTTTCATTCAGTGTATTGAACTGCCTTGTCGTGAAGCTGATCTAAATTTAGATAAAGTGGTTATATCCCCAGGTAATGTATTGCCTACTTATCTTATATAATTCTAAGAACTATTTAAGTCCGCTCGGTGAGCTTTATCTTAACAACGTTATGGGTAGTCCATGGTTTCTAATAGTTAATATCAGTTGCTCTTTCGCTAAATCAAAGCGGATCTTTACTTTTTAGATTCTTTCAGATAGAGGTTACGGAGATCTGCTAAAGAAAATGACAACAGTTCTACAACCCGATGCCTGCTTTTGCAAAGGGGCACTGCAGATGCGTGTTCAGAAGTGCTTTGCCATTAAGGTAGTGTGTGTGTGCGTGTGTGCGTCAACTAAATTGGGAAGTTTTGTGCCTCACTTCTTTTTCATGTCTATCATTTACAATTTCAGCCTGGAGTGAATGTTCTTTTGGATCTAACAAGACGTGCTTACGCCGAACAGGTGGATGATATTTCACGTATGTGTATGAATTGCATGGAAAAAATTTGGATTTCTTTCTAAATAGAGCAAATGAAATTCTTATTTTCTTTGTGTACTATTCAATTTTGGGAACCTGCAAATAATACGAGAGAATGTACTACAATATTTAAGTATTATAAGCTCATCGCCTCGTTGTACCGGATTTCGGTATAATAAGGTACAAACAACAAGTAAAACGGCCCGGTGTTGGTAAATGCAATATATTTTATCCTACAGGTTATGTTAAAGAACTGGCTTCCAAATACAGTCTTCCACTTCGTATTGGTTACAACAAGACAAGAGGCTTCTTTATCCAGATTCCTGAGCAAGGATTGGATCTACCAATTCATCGACGCAAGCAGACAATTGGTTCTGGGCAAGAGTTGAATTCAAGCGTAGCTTCCTGTTCTCAAGGCAGTGGCAATGACCATGATATTGCCGAATCGCTGTGTACAGATTATTCAAATGATGGAAGACCTGGCTCATCACAGAGCAACCGAGGTTTACCGAGAGAATTTATAAAAGTTCAGATTGCTAGGGGCATAATCAATTGCACAACGGCTGAACTGGTAGGTCAATGATCATTTGGAAATGCTCTTAGTAAATAAATCATTCAGACTGATTTTTTTTTCACAATTTATTGAATGTTTTTCTCACTTATGAGGTTTGGTGGGTCCCAGAGTAATCAGGTTCAATAAAAAAGGTGTCACTACGTTCCATTTTGAGAACTTGGAAAGGCTTGACTTGAGTTCCTACGTATTGTATATTGGCAAACTGTCAATAGTACCTCATGAAAAGCTGAGTGGACACTTCTGCATCAGAAAAAACCGCAATATTTCGAAGAGAAACTTAAATACCTAAGTGCTGATTAATGAAAATAGAAATCAGAGGAAAATGTAGCCCATGGACCAGTAAATGAAGTTATTAGAAGAATTTCACTCACGAAATGATTTAATTAAGACAAAATTTAATTGAACATATCCATTTTCCTTTCAGGTGAAACTCAACGGTAAGTTTTTCCTTTTTTCTATAACGAATTTTAGAACGTGTGAAAGGTTCTCTGAATGAGGTCTATCTCATTGCTGACAAGTAAGTAAGAAGCATAGATCAGCACTTATTTCCTTGTAGTCTGGTTTGCAAACTCATTCACGACTTGCATCCTGAAATAAGTCTGTTTTATCGACTCTCTGAAGCTGTCTCTGGACTTGATCTGCTCTGTACTCTCGCCCGTGTTGTCGTTTCTGCACCACCTGGCCACACTTTTGGTAACTTCTTCTATGCTTCTAACATGGGAAATGACACTCCTTCCTTCCATTTTAGTCAGACCGATTTTTGGCGATACTTTAGCCATTCAAAATGGCCGTCATATGATACACGATCGGTTTAGTAACACTTTACCAGTTAGCAATAATACAGTAAGTGATTCGTCGTTGTATTTAAGGATATTTAAGTACCTTTGGTAATCTGCGTTGTAAAACATATATTTTGTCTCTAGTTCGCCTCTACAACACAGAATGTCTCCATTATCCTCGGTGCCAGTATGGTGAGTGACTTATTCTACAAGATGGATTAGACCACCCGATAGTCTGCTAACTAACTAACTATGATCAACTACGATAAATATTATCAGTTTAAAGCGAGTCCAAGTAAATTACCTGGTATTGATTCGGATGACTTGCAGTCGTATTCCAATTGCCAAATGAAGACATTCAAGATGCGAAAAATACATAGAATGAAGCAATTGCTAAGGAATTTCTTTCTATTTAAATGCACAGATTTAAGTAAATTAAGTTAAGGAAGTAAGTGAATCCGAAGCTTACAAACTTGTTTTTCGGCATTCGAGCAATTGGCCGTAGTCATTGTGTCCCTTGAATATCGAGACCAATAGATCCAAAATTGCCCAACGAAATAAAATTACCTGTAGTTCCTTTTAGAACCCAATCGCCTTCTCTCTTATTCAATTTATAAATAAATAATTGGACTTATTTAATAGAGTGGTAAGACAACCTACCTGACTCAAGTGGCCTTGATGCAAATTCTTGCTCAAATCGGGGCCTTTGTACCGGCAAAGTTCGCAGCCTTTCGACTGATGGATAAAATTTTCGCTCGAATGGGGTGTCGCGACGATATGACCACTAATGCATCGACCTTCGCTCTTGAGGTAACTTAGCGTTCTCTAACCAATAGCACTTACTCTTCTTATTTTAAGCTTTATCGATGCTCTCACACAAGAAATGCTGACATAAACAATTACCCTAGAATTTTTGCTTAGATACCTTTGGCAACTTAGGTTTGTATATGGATAGTCATTGATTCTTTATCGAATTTGCCTCCCTTATTTCATTCATTTTGCCCTCTACTTACTCATTCCGTGCATATACTGATTTCACTTGTGTGATTAGAAATTTGGCCTCTATTAAAGCTCCAAAGATTTTATATTGACATTCAGGCAGGTTAGATTGTGCCGCTTTGCCCTTTTTCTTCACCATCTTGAAAGACGGAATGCCACAAATATTTCACCTCACTCACCTTACTTTATGCATTTTACTGTGATATTTCCACCCATACTACTCTAAATTATGCATGCTTTTCTCGACTTTGGCAGATGAGAGAAGTTGGTCACGTGTTCAGGTCAGCAACCGACAATTCGCTCATTCTGATTGACGATCTCGGTCTGAGTGAGTCTGAGTTACATTTTGCATACAGTTGCTGTTTTCTCTCATGCCCTCTACCCTAACGGTGTGCTGAGGGGTATTAAGTTTTTCATCTTATTGCCTACATTCACATTTCGGAGAAAAAAACAATAGCCTGTTAACGCACTTGCAACACTTACACTTACTATTTATGCTAATACCAATGTATGTAGGCAATCCAGGTGTTCTTGAGGTGACAACTAAACGCCACAAGAGGAATCTAAAGTGGACCGCCGTTTACCATTTGATTTCACTTTTACAGGTACGACGGATGAAGACTGTTTCAGTTTGAGCTTCGCCGTCTGCGATGCACTGGCCAAAATGCGAGCATTTTCCTTCTTCACTACCTCCGACACTGCACTCGCCCAACTCCAATTCCAACATCTTAATATCGAAATGTATTTAATCGGTGGTTTCTTCTCAATTAACACTTTGTCTCAATTTTCCACTTGAGAACGATTTACCTGCCTATCGATCAAGTAAAGTAATTCGGTAGATAATAAGGAAAAAATTAAGTGTCAATCATTCATGATTAGCTGAATACTTTTTTTGCCTTTTTTAACGTTATGCACTTTGGTTTTTTATTTCCTCAGACAAGTCCTCCAGACTAAATCATATTAATGCTATTGCAATCAGCGACAATGCCAGTCAAGTCAGAGATCACTAGATCGTGATCGTAAGATACAAAATAATTGATGGAATGACAAGTTAATTATACTTAAGTGGGTTTCTATTTAGTAGCAATTCTGAAGGCTATTCAATGGCCGAAAGTAAGTGCTGGAAAAGGCTCCTTAAGTAAGCTGCGTTATCAAAAATAGTATTAATCGTGCTTTTCTCATAATTCCTAGTTATCATTTTGCTGTGAGGACTCAAGAGATAGTAGGAGGTGGCCGGCGAATTCCCCGATTGAATTCTGCAGACTGCTCTTTCTCTTCGAATGCTTCCGCATCGTTTAACGATTCCTTTCAATCTTCGGTGAATGAGCCTTCCAACCAAGACGGGGATACTCGAACCCGTTATAAGTACACCTATAAACTGAAGAAAGGTGTTGGAAAGGAAGCGCACTCAGGTAGAATTTTATTCCCTTTCAACATGGTCTCTTCACTTGAAGGAATTTCTTAAAGATCCTCTTATCACTCATATTTTACATATAGTTTTTTTCGTATCGACTTTTCATGTATTTTAATCGTCGAAATTAATTTTCGCCTAAGGATCTGTATAATAACTAGGCTCTCAGTAACCAATTGAGTATGATTGGCACCCTCCGTCATCAAGTCTAACTCGTCTATCTAGGCATTTATAATTGGTAGAATGCACTAAGGTGTGACCAAGGAAAGACGTGTTCACACTCAGGCCTTTATTGCGGCCTCACTAAGTTACAATGCACAAATCCTTAATACGCAAACCCACATTGCGCATTAACGCATTTCTTAATGCGAAGAAATAACAGTTGAGGCATATAAAACTTATTCTGCCCATTTTAGTTGTTGATCAACTTAGCTTTACCGCTCTCGATCCAACTTACATCGCACTCACAAAGAAGTACTATGACATCCTGGTGAATAGAAAGGCAATGAAAAGAGATGGGAACCCAACTCTTGAGTCCCCATCGACTGTTGAAGTAAGTGAATCAACGTATGGTTTGTCCGTTACAAAACGAGCTCGACTTGAAGACAAATCGTCAAATGGCGTTGAAAGTCGACAAACTCCAGCAAAAGAAGAAGAGGAGAAATCGAATTTAAGAGCAGCGAGTGTGAAATACAAAGATGTAAGTGCAGTAAAAGACCTCCCCCCCCCTCATATTTCATCACATCTAACTAGGGTTTCTCCCACCCTCTCTCTGTTAAGAAGGTCAACCAAAAGGATTCAGTTCTCCAAAAATCTCCACTAAAAAATGGGAACTTAGTGGTGACACCTGCCGGCATTAAGGTGAGTTTAGAAAAGTGATTTGTTTTCAACTGTGGTTCACAACAACTTCATGATGGAAGAATTTTCAAGGATACCACCAAACAACAAACCCAAATTGAAGAAACAGATAAATCCACTACCGAATCAATTTCTTCGAAGAAAGAGGAATTTTTGAGCCCATCGGGGCTTATAGTAAGTTTGGGAAAAAGTAATAAAGTATTTTTTCAATTGTAGAAGGCTAGACAACTAAATGTAGACTTGGATGATGAGGATAGTCACTCTATAGCAGGGAAATTGGAAACACCCAAAATGCATAAAAATCCTGAAAAGGTGAAATCAGAGATTATAATCACAACAGAAAAAAGTGAAGAAGCTGGTAAAGGTAAGACTGATTACGCCTTCACTGTAATATTTATACTGTGATGATTGTTCAGTGTATTATTGTGCCAATAATCCGCTTGTACACTAAGTGTCACGGGAAGTTTATAGTCGGTAAAAAACCAAGATTAATCTCTCAAGAAATGGAGGCTAACATAGCACAGCCTAGAAGCATCGATACCGCTATTCCAGATGTAATTTCAGTTCGATTAAAAATTCCTAAATCTCTCTTTTACTAATAGTGAACTAATGTTTTATATCTAATTCTACAATTCACCTCATCTTAAATGTGATTCAAGCTGACTAACGTTGTAGAAGGGGCTTCAGATAAACCCGAAGACCTCGAGAACTTTGCTGAAAGAAGTTGCTACACAACGACGGATCGAATGATGCACTCCCTGACCCACCAAACTCAGATGCTTGCGTGTGTCGCACGGTGTATAGATCGAATTTCGTCTTCAGTACCACTAGAGAGATGCAACAATTCAAAAGCTGACGCTGAAGATCAAATTAAGGTTCAAGTAGCGAGGAGAAGCGTGGTCTCGCACCTCGACTTTCTTCGCGATCGATATGCTGGGGTTATAAGGAGCTTCCTTGAAGATTGACCCCATCTTCCGCGTTTTTTAAAATACTATTTAATCAACCCCTTCCCACGAGTTCAAGTGCTCTCAATTTTTCTAATAAAGAACCAAGTTTGTTACTACTACGTAATGCATTCCAAGCGACAAGAAAGATATTAGACCGTAAAATGCTTGCGTAAAGCGGCATCTAGGGAGCAAAAAAGTGTTAACATCAACACAAGCACAAAAAATAAACATATTACAGAGATGAAAGAGACCACATAGTCTGCGATATAAAACTTCTTACATCAAAAAAATGACAGATTTTCACCGCAAATAGTTCGTTAAGACACTAGTCATATAAAATGAACATTTATGGATATTGAGAATTATAGGAAATACCAGCACTTGAAAAGCGCTTTTTCGATAAGGTGCATATTGCCCAAAATCGAAGAGTAATGCGCCCAATACAGTGAAATAATAATATCCAAAAGAAGTATTTTTCAAAATAAGGAATGCTCATGTAGCCCCTTAATTTTTTTCTCCTATTGAAAGCGAACAGTTTTAGTGAATGGAAATCTAGGAAAATAATGAACAAATTTCAACTCGCCAGCAAAAAACTTCCGAACCGTTAAAAGTAAATCGCGAAACATATTCTAGTCATTATAAGAATAACAATATGGTTTGAATCCTGCAATCAGATCATTTATTTGTAACCAAAGGTAGATTCAATAATCTAATTAAAAACGTCATACAAGTAGCAGAGGGTAAAAAATATTAAACATATGAATAAGACCACGAACGAAAAGTAATCAAGCGTACTTTTTGACATGTGACAAAGCACATCACATGACTAAGGAATTGCACAATGTATCTTATTAATCAAGCAAAGAATCTCAACGAGGCCATTACCCAAATAAATTCAAAAACGCCTAAGAGAATTGGATAATAAATGGAAAAAGACATCTTATTGCAAAACACATCAACAAAAAAGGTGAGCCAAAGGTAAAGACAAAATCAAAAGTGAAAGAAAAACTATAATAAGGAAGTTGATATTAAAACCAGTCCAAATTTAAGAGAATATACAATGCACACAGTTACAGACACGCTTATCCTGAACAACCACGACAGCCACAATTTTGACACTCTACGACCTTGCCTTCCTCTAGTTTTGATTTTGGAACACGACATACACAGTTTGTACCGAAGTTTGTGTCTCGAGGCTGGATACATCGTAAACAGCAAAGATTTTCATAACCCTGCTTCTTCCATTTAGCTATCAAGTTAGCATCAGCGATTTTTTCCTTTATACAGTAGTCGTACAACTCCTTTGAAATCACTTTTCTCTTGTAGTAAAGATCGTAGATGTACCTTGAACGTTTATGATGAATACGGAAAATAGGCCACTCTGCTTCAACTTTACGCTTGCCCTCATGAGGATCGGTCTCTGCTTCACGCATTTTTTTGCTTAATTCATCGATAGTTGGTTCAATCATTTCCCAGCCATCTGGTGGAGGCTTCTTACTTCGACGCACCGGCCCCATTTCCAACAGCAATTCGTAAAACTAAAGTCCCCGGTTAAATGTGAAACAGTAAAAACAAGAGAATTTTCTTCGTAAAGTAAAGAGTATAATCATATATTCTCATTTAAAATATTTTCTTAAATAATGAAAGCTCAATTTCTGATGAATATAAAATATTATCTCATTGCTTCTTAAGTTTCAGCTTATTTAGCAGAAAATATCTCTAATTTTATTGGTATTCGAAATCCATTGCCTCACGATCTTTGAATTAATTCTTTCAATTTTCGATCGACTTGTTCATAACTGATTCCATCGTGCTAAAAATAAGTTAATTCGAAATTTTCATTTTACGGTAAGCATAATTAAAATCTGCTGTATGATCTATAAAAGCTAGGGATTACAGATGTATTTTCTCAAATAATCTAAGACTTCCCTATTGAGCACATCGTAGAACATTGCGGAGAACACAATTTTAGCTTACTTAACTACTGAATAACCATAATTTACAAGGATTTTAAAATACTTACTTTTCAGTTTATTTAATTTGCAAATCCGAATAAGTACTGATATACAGCTTAAAAGTGGCCCGTGGTAATACTCGAAAGCAAATTAATTTATGGTTTTCCGGTATATAAATCTATTTCAATATGACCCCATCATTATTGGCGTCATCTTTGTGTATAATATCTTTTTAGTTTTGCTAGCACGGTTTGCTCATTGTCAAGTTTATGGCCTGCGTCCATGCAATTTTGCATAATACCAGAAGGTACCTTTTGAAACCTTCCAAATATTTCTTCGAAAAATATATAAAATGCTAAGCATTTTGATTGAATGCTTTCTGAAGGCCAATGTTCAATAGGTCAGTTGTAATATGCTGGAACAATAGACCAGTAGATAAGTAAAAAACCACAAGCATCTTAGGAATTTTTTAAATTTAAATTTACATATTTCTCAGTTTATACTTGATCAACTAATAATAATACTCCAGAAGAATGAAGAGAGAAGACAGGGTTATTTCATAAAAAGTAAGCAATGAACCAAGTGAGAATAGGTACGAGTGATCTGTAAATGAAGTCTTTTATCTTTCTATTTACGGAGGATATTGATATTGATTGATATATATGGAATTATGTCAGAAATAATATGTGACTAAGACGGTTACTTTGTGATCAAAATAAATCCAAATTTTTGGCCATTCTTAGCTCTACTCGTGGTCCAGGTCCCAGGTGTATAGCAATGAAAGAGTCCATCTATTTTCGAGCACATTTTCAAAATCTTTTGGAAAATATTAATTTTACCAAGACACTATCCAAAAAATAAATGGATCACTTTTAGTTGCATTGCCTCAATATGCACTTTAACCGTTGTTATGGCTCTATCCATGAATCTTACTGCCTTGTGTCACCAGACTGTCTCCACTTTGCCTAAAATAATTCCTAGACCCACCCTCCCCCTTATTCCACTCCTGCCTCCCTATAAATAAACGGAACGCCAACGTTTTCTCTCTCCCTCTCTTTCTTTCGCTTCTTAACAAGACTCTTCGAGTAGGGAGGTTCTCCTCCTATCATGGTGGGAATTGGTAAGATATTTATTTAGTTATATCAAATGGCAGGCATTTTGATAGTTTCATTAGCCCTTTAGGTGATTTCAGGCCTCACAGAAAAGAAGAGATATCAAAGTGAAAAAATTTGGGGGGGGGGGGGTCGGAACAGAAGAGTGTTTTAAAGATGTAAAAGAGAGATAAAGGTAGAAAAAAGGTGAGTACTGTGGAAGTAATCGAATATGACATACAGTGGGGTTATGGTAGTTTGAAGTGAGAAGTCAACTGCCACGTGGAGGTAAATCTATCACGCACCCCTGTAACTAAACATTGTGGTCCTAAATACAGCAACTTTTCCACAACAACATAGAAGAAATTCAGGTCTAATATGCACATTTTCAACACCATTTCCAGTTTAATTCTGGCAGTCAAACTTATTAAACATGGCTACGCTGAAATATTTATATGAAATGCTTTGATTTGGTACATCAGGCGTTAATATTGACCTAAAGTTATAACTAATTACCATTGGTGTATATAAGTGCTTATCAGTTCACAGGATCCTATTGGTCATATTGAACTCGAGCCTTAAAATAAACAAACGAGTGTTTTCGAGTAATATATAAATGGGACTATTGGTTTGTACTAATTTATAGCAAGGATATAATGATGCGGAGGTCTTCAATTAAAATTGTTGGATTGGCCATTCTACTGGCGCTGAACTTTGCCAGTGCGATGCGTGAAGAAGACAAAGGTCCTGCTAGCAAGGTGGAAATCCTGCCTTCTTTTTGGGAGCGACTTGCAAGGGAAAGAATTCAACGATCCAACACATACTACCGAGAACCGACCAAACCAGCTAAGAATGTGATCCTCTTTCTCGGTGATGGCATGGGTATACCCACAGTTTCTGCTGGAAGATTCTTCAAAGCTGAGGTGGAGGGGAGAATGGGTGCCGCTAATCCATTGATGGATTTCGAGGACTGGCCCTTCCACACCCTCTGTCGTACCTACGATCTGCACACAGAAGTCACTGATTCTGCCAGTTCTGCAACTGCCTATCTTGGTGGTAAGTACTTCCAAGCTTTTATGCTCTAACAAAGTAACCACAGATCGATTGGAAAAGGCTACCTTTTCAGTTAGGTCCTGACATTTTTATTTGAGAAAAAAAAACATTTTAATTAGAGGAAAGAGGCCACAGTGTGCTCTCACCAACCTCTCATTGACCACTCACACCGTGAGAGAAGTCATCATTTTGTCTTTTCGTTGAAATAAGTAGCCTCCTTATATTCCACTATTCTTAAACAATGAAGATGATTGCTTCTTGCTAGCATTCGATGGCTATTTACCTAATGCCGCTCTCAATTCCTCGAAATGTCTTTTCGTGTACTTTACGTCTCAAACAGCTAAGATGACATGTGAACAGAAGTTGCATAGTGCATTTGACTGAAAACCCAATGCGCCCAGTTAAACTCTGCACAACAGACGACTTTATGCACATTCAAAATGAGTCTCTGGAGTGACATTTAGGAATTTCCAGGTTCGTTGATATTAAAAAATGGCCATGTACGAAGGGATGGTAAAGTGAACCAACAGACCGTGGTTGGCAATGACGATAATCGACTTAGAGAGTGCGAACCACAGTTGCACTATCCTTTCAACAAATGTGACATCTGTATTTCAGGCACAAAAACTACCACTGGTGTGATTGGTTTGACTGGTGATGTTAGACCCAAGGAATGCAGAGAGTATAAGGAGGAGGAGAAGATTGACTCAGTTTTGAAGGCTGCTATTCGTGCTGGAAAGGCCACTGGTCTTGTGACCACCTCTCGAATCACTCATGCCTCGCCAGCCGGTGCCTATGCGCATACCGCTTTCAGAGACTGGGAGTGCGATACGTGAGTTATCTTTCTTGCAAAGTGTTTGTTTGTTTGTATCAAATGGCAGGCGTTTTGATGGTTATCATTAGCCCTGTAGTTGACTTCAGGCTTCACAGAGGGGAATGAACATCAAAGTGAAGAAAGTCGAGAGGGGGTGGGAATAGAAGAGTGTTTCAAAGATGTAAAAGAGTTAGACACAAAGGTAGAAAATAGGTGAGATGAGTACTATGAAAGTAGTCGAATATGACATACAGTGTGGTGATGGTAGTTTGAAGTCAGAAGCCAACTGCCAGTTTATAGACTTTTTTGCCGTATGAGTATACGTTGCCCAGGGTGCACCACGTGGAAGTAAGTCTATCGTACACCCCTCTTTGCAAAGTACTTTTTGTATTCTTTTCAAACAGTCTCTAAACAATTGCAGAGCAAATATTACCTCATATTGGACTTTAAACCTTTTTGTTATTTAGTGGAAAAGTGTATTGTGTAAATTCCGCTAAAACAGCTATCACCTCGGAACGAACTAAAACTGTGAATGCCCTCTATCAGATTTACTAACACTATTTAGTTTAGGTATAACTCGGAATTGAAAAGTCCAGTTTATGTACTATTGAATATCGTATTAGCTATTTAAACTTATCGGACCTAATTATGTTAAATATGAAAATATTGAGCGAAATTAAGTTTCGAAGCCAAATATTAGCCCACTTTGGAATCGAAATTTGTAATGAGAGTTTCCAATAAGCCTAGTCCCGATAAGTTCAACATGATGAACTCATATATTCGAATTTATGTGGCTTCATAGAACATAAACATTTGCGTATAGTCAACATGTGGTCGTCAGTGTGAAATTTGTGTGTAATTACAGCTTTAATTAAAGCGCATTCACATGTCATGCATACATCGATTTTCATAATGCGATAATTATACCAAAGTAGTTTATGAAGGCTAACTTTACAGTCCAATTAAATTGATGTATTTATATCAAATGATAGGCATTTTGATAGTTTCATTAGCCCTTAAGGTGACTTCAGGTAAGGGAAGGACTCCTCAACAGAGATATTCACTTGCAAATTCGCAAACCAACCTCTATTGGGAATGAGTAAAGATACCTCTGTCAGTTTGATGAAACTCGTGTAACTTTGAAAACGCCACGCCAAAAAATATCCCCCCAAAAAGTAGCTAAAAATGTGTCCTACCTTAATTTAGTGATATGGCTAAAGATTGCAAATCAGAGAAGGACAGTCCAAAAGATATTGCTAGACAATTGCTTGAAGAAAATCCCGAAATCAATGTTATTATCGGTGGAGGTTCTGCCATGTTCTATCCTAAAGAAGCCAAAGGTCTCCGTAGTGATGGACGATACATTGCTGAAGAATGGCTCCAGCTCATGCAAAGTCTCGGTCGAAACGCCAAGCTTGTTAACAACTCAAAAGAATTCATGAAAGCAAACGTTACCAGTGCCGATTATCTTGTTGGTAAGTTCATGCAGGAACTTGAAATTTTCCAAGTTTTACTCAGTTTACTTCAATCTTTTATTCATTCCAGGTCTTTTGTCGCCTTCCCACATGCCCTACGAGGCGGATAGAGACCCCGATGAAGCATCTATAGTGAATATGACAACTGCAGCCGTTGAAATACTCTCACGTCAACCCAATGGTTTCTTCCTCTTTGTTGAAAGCGCTAGGATCGATCATGCTCACCACGAAAACCTTGGAAAGCAAGTTTCACTTGGCTAAAACAATTTAACTGTGTTTTAATCAGTTTATTTACTACTTACATTGATTTAATTTCATCCATAATTCAATTTATGTATTTTATTTCCCAATAGAAAATCTCTAATTGATATGCTAGTATTTGAAGAGGCCATTCGCGAGGCTTTAAAGATGGTTGATTTGGAGGAGACGCTGGTTATCCTCACAGCCGACCACTCCCATTCCTTCCATCTCGTTGGCGAACCACGCAGACTTTCTAGTCTTCTAGATCTTGACGAAGGCTATGGTCCCATCGTAAGTCTTAATACAAATTTGAGTTATTTGTCGAATCGAAGAAGAAATTGAGGTGATTGTCCGAGGGATGTCCAATTTTAGGGTTACTGAAGCATTGTACAGCAAAAGAGTAAACGGGAAATGGAAGAGAGGCGTGCAAGAAAATAGGTTTAATAAAAATTGGATTTGACCTCCCTAGTGTTACCCGTCGGGTCGAAAAGGTCAAGCAGAACATTGGGTCAAGCTGTTACGTATACGGGTGATATTAATTTTGGGGATTTTCTCCACAACCTTACTGGGGTGAGCCAAGTTAACTGGAAAAATAAAAACAGCTATCAGTGATAATATCGTAATCAGAAAAGCCATAAATGGAGTGATTTAATTAAATACCGTGTTTGGACGGTGCGAATTTCAAGGGAGCAAATAGGAATTTATTGAAATTTTAACTGCCGCACTCAATTGTGGGAAGATCTTTGTATTGTCATTATTTCGAATTGAATTGGTTAGGGTAAAATGACTTCGCTATTCGATTCTACTTATGTAGCTGATTGTGGAAGTAATTGAGGTTGGTGGATTCTTTGTAGGCATTTGACGGCAAGGGTATGACCCCTCTCATCTACTCCTCAGGTCCAGCAGGAAAAGTGAATACGACTCGTGATGATCTCAATAGCCCTAGCATCAAAGCTAAACTCCACGATAAGGAGTTCAGACAACCCGCGTTAGTTCCACTTTACTCATCCACCCACGCAGGAGAAGACGTCGGTGTCTACGCAACTGGTGTCTTCAGTCAGCTCTTCCACTCCACTGTGGACAATACATTCATTGCCCAATCAATGAAGTACGCAATGTGCCTTACTCCCTTCGAGACAGAAGCACACTGCATCAACGCGTCTGCAACTCTCGGGTTCTCAGCTCTTTCCATTATTCTGAGCCTCCTCGTTACCAGATACAATCTCTGTTAGTAGTGAATAAATTTTTGGCTTTTCAATATTTGTAAGGATATCCAACTTATCTGTAATTTCTGTAAAAATACTAAGTAGCTATCGGTGTTAATCAACCAGTTTGACTTGTTCTTTGTTAACTTGATTATTTGAGCCTCTGAGCTTTGTGAACTGTACGCGTAAGATCTCACCCAGAATTTGGTGAAATAAGATGGCCTTTTCATAGAAGCAAGTATTTAATTTGCAACACCAGGCGAATTATATAAAGCTTCTCATTACCATTGCAAAATTGCCTAAATACCTGTCCGTGTGGTGGCTTACTTCTTCACTATACCTTGACGGTCACAAAACAATTTTTACAATGTTAATCATATAATTAAGTTAATAGATCAGTCTTTTAAGGGCTTTAAAGGTCCATATTCATCGATGCCCACAAAGTGATGTGGTTGGTCTGACTTCAGATTGCATTGTCTCCTCCCAAGTCTCTGGTAGTGCTCCTCTTAATGGGCTTTGAAAAGTGTTTTATGCAATTACTAGGTGGAAAATCGATTAAATCGAACTTAGTTTGTCAAAGAGGAATCAATGAATAATTTATCAGTTAAATTAAATATATATTATTCAAAACCTAAAAATTTTAAATAAAACATTTTGTCCTCTATAATTCTTATGCGTAACATTGCACAAATGAACTGATCTATCAAATATCCACCTTGTAATCATATTTCATGATCGAAAGGCAAATGCGATAAGCGATCGTTGCCTCTATTATATACAATTCAACTACTTATTTTAAATTAGTAACACAATTTTGTATACTTAAGTTACTGACTGCTGTGACAATTTCAAAATTGAATTCTTTCAGATTATAGGAAACGAATGACCACTTAATAAGCAGCGGTTGCAACTCTCATATAAGTACAATTTATGATCTCTAACTGCGACTAAACTTTTCTTTGCTAATTCAAATTCACATTGCGTCTACATTTTTGTGCATTTATATTGTAGCTGACTGCTACCTTAGTAAATCCTGACCGACTCAGAAATCTCTATGGCAGATTCTCCAACATCTAGCTAGACTCCCAGAACCAGCTAAGCTATAGCCCAGCTATAAAAGAAACAGACGCGTAGCACGGAGTTCGCTCACTCAGGACGTATATTGCGGATCAAGTGTACACGTAGGGGGCCTAATCATGATAAGGATTGCTGATTAGGTTATACAGAGGTTGATGATTGGTCACTGTTTATACGGTCGCACCTCCCAATCCTGGCGAGCAGACATACGGGTATACGATGACGCACAGAGCGATAACGTGTCCCCCAATATTGATACTCGGGGTTTTGTACAGAGTTCTATTGGAAAGGCATGTCTTCAAGGGAATAGCAATGCAAGAAAGAGAGGACTGAAAAGTTTGAAACTGTCACTTTGAAGTAATTGTCAAACAAGTAACCATAATGGTGCGTATTTACTGAACAAAATCGTACTTAATACAATTGAGATGTGTTAAGTGAAACTTATGGCTGCCAGACCGGACTTCATTGCCTATTTGTGGTTCCCATCGCTTCCACGTTTTTAACTTATAATTTAAACAAAACGTAAAATGCTCTATTTCAACTACCTAAATTAGGGTAAATGTCAAGATTTAAAAAATGCTATGCAAAAGTTGCATAATTGGTTAGCTTTGAGTGAGCACATTTTGTGTGCGCATCAGAACTTAAAACAAAATTATTGCAATGAGGTATTGTACTCCGTGGTTGACCAATAAATGCTGTGCACAAATCAGCTAGTTACAAAGTTACTCCAGCACATTTTACGTCTCTAGTTGTTACTCCATCTTGGTTCACAATCTCAAAGAGGTCGTGGAGTAGCATAGATCGCTAAGCGAGGATAACCACACGTGCTTAATATAGCATATGGCGCAAACGTGGTATCATTCTCAAGGTAGTCAATATTTGACAAATAAATTAATTTTTTTATTTCAAATGGCAGGAGTTTTGATAGCTATCATTAGCCATTTAGCTGACTTCGGGCTTCATAGAGGGAAGGTTCATCAAAGTAGCAGAAAGTCGAGGGGTGGGGAACAGAAGAGCGATTCACAGATGTAAAAGAGGCAGACAGACACAAAGGTAGAGAAAAAGGTAAAGTGAGTACTCTGAAAGGGGTCGAATATGACAACCAGGGGGGTTGTGGTAGTTTGAAGTCAAAAGTCAAATGCCGATTAATAGACTTTTTTGCCGTATGAGTATACGTTACCCAGGGTGCACCACGTGGAGGTAAGTCTATCGCACGCCCCAAATGTACCTCCGAAGAGCTAAGACAAACCATTC